CCCTCCCATGGCACTCTCCCCTTCTTGGCTAGGCTCGACGGTTGTAGTGACCACACAGAACTCCCAGACAACATTCAAAATTAGGGAGTTTATTAGGGAAGTAACAGGTTAAAATTCAGGATTAGGAACATTCAGGATATAGTACTTCAATCAGGACAGCCGCTTTTCAGATGTGCCCGCAGGCAGACCTCTCTCTGGCACCTGGCCCAGCCTGCCTTGCTCATGCAAGTGTTACAGACCCGTTTAGCTCCCACAGATGTCTGGGGACACCCATCTGTGCCAAGAATCCTGTCCAAAGGCGCTCAGCACTCTCACTCTGGGACAGCAAGCCTAGTTCCGTCAACAAGTACCCAGAGGCACCCCCCTCTACCTGGCAGCCTCCTGCCCGAAGGCACTCAGCTTTCTTGCTCCTTGGGTCTGCACACCGACTGTAACCATCTCACGCCATGCACCAGAAAGCCCACTGTCCATCTCACTGTGGTCTCCTGGTTCTGATGCTGCTATTTCTGTCTTTCCTTATCATTATCTTGCACCATCTCCAATCTAATTGTGCTCTCTTTCTGTCTCCTGGGTCTAAGAGGTTCTCAGCACAGGGACCCCAGGTCCAAAGGATACACTCTGCTCATGTGTCGTCTTCTGATGGCTGTGAGGTACCCCCTTTCTGCCTCTGAGATAGCTCATTTTAAGCCTATGAGGTGGCAGACCTGTCTAGTGCCTTCATTAGAGTTCCACATGGGTGTCATTCACCTTATTTGCATTATTAGCAAATATTATTATTATTAGCAAAGCTGCCCGATCCCTTTGCTGGGCCACAGACACCTTATTTGCATAATCTCACCCAATCTTTGTTGGAGTTATAAGACCATGGTTAAAAAACAAAAAACTGACTGCCATCAAGTTGATTCCAACTCATAGCAACCCCCATTGGATTCCCAAGGCTGTAAATCTTTACGGAAGCAGACTGCCCCTATCTTCCTTCCATGGAACGGCTGGTGGGTTTGAACCGCTGACCTTCTGGTTAGCAGCCAAATGCCTTATCCACTATGCCACCAGAGCTCCTTAAGATCACAGTTAGAAACCAACCACCAAACCAAACTCACTGCCATCAGGTCGGATCCGACTCATAGCGACCCCTCCTTGGGATTCCGAGGCAGTTTCACTACAGAAGTAGATGGCCCAGTCTTCCTTCTGAGGAGTGGCTGGTGGGTTTGAACTGCCAGCCTTCTGGAAAAGGCCATGTAAAAATGATCCATTGCACTATATGGGCATTAACAGAATCTGAAGTCATGGGAAAACCAACTTATCGGGGCCCCTGGAGGGCCCATTCAGCATGGCAGGGCCACCGCAGCCACCTATGCTCCATCCTCCTCGGGTTGGCAGGGACAAGGCCTGTATATACTTGGGGCCATGGCTTGCCCCTGCATGCTTGCATGATGGGTAGGTAGAATTAAGCCAAGGTGACCTTCACAACAGGTGTTCTGGTGGCACAGTGGTTAAAATATTCCACTACTAACCAAAAGGTTGGTGGTTTGAACCTACCAGCCACTCTATGAGAGAAGGCTCAGGTAGTCTGCTTCTGCAAAGATTAACAACCTCAGAGACCCAGTGGGACAGTTCCACTCTGCCCTCTACGGTCGATAGGAGTTGCAATCCACTCAGTGGCAGTGGGTTTGGTTTTGGTTGTGGCCTTTACAGTGGAATACTTTCTTACCTACCTTGTTCACAGACCCCTCTGTCCCTAAAACAGACCAAAGCAGTGCTGCCGGGTCCCCTCCAACTCACGGAGCCCCCCGTGTGTCCAGGTAGAACTGTGCCCACAGGCTTTCCAGTGTCTGATTGTCTTGGAAGTAGATCACCAGATGTTTCTCTCGAGGCACCTGTATGGGTGGGTTTGAATCTCAGCCTTTCGGTTAGTAGTTGACCCTTAACCATGTGCGTTATAAGTGCCCTTTCCTTGTCTCTGCTGTCTTGCCATTGTTGTTTCGGGAACTCTTCATTGGTTCTCTGGCCTTGCAGTACTTCACTTCTTCCTCTGTTCAGCTGCCTCCTGAACAGCTCCCCATAAGGGCTCACCGTCAGCATACCGAGAGTGGGCTATCCGTCTCCTCCACCCAGACCGTCCCACTGCCATTCCCTGCCACCTTCCCCACTCCGTGCAGAGTCTGACCCTTCTACCAGGGCCCTGGGCCCAAAACCTCGACTTCCCATCTGACCCTCCATCTTCCTCATGCTCTGTATCCAGGTGGGAACAAGTCACCCTTTAAATCTTCCTCTGCTGGGGACTCCGTTTCTCTGGTTTCCTCCCACCAGCTCACTCTGCCTTCTGCTTCGCTCGCCCTCATCGACCATGCTGGCTGATACCAGATTTCTTCCCCAGAGACCATCTTCCCTTGCTCACTGCCCACTCTCCCCACCGCTCACAAGGAGGGTTGCCCTGTGCCCCTAGAGCCCAGCTCCTGAGAGGCTGTGGCAGCACTGGACAGGGAGCTCCCCTTCCCTTCGAGCAGCTCTGTGTATTTTTATTTTTAATTGATTGGGCTCCTAGATAGTATGTTAAGGAGCACTCATGGTGCAATGGTTAATTACTCCACTACTAACCAAGTGGTCGGAGGTTCAAACCCGCCAGTGTCTCTGCGGGAGAAGAGCCCTGGAGACCTGCTCTTGTAAAGATTACAGCCTGGGAAACTCTGTTGTCCGGTGCTGTTGAGTCGGTGCCGACTCACGGTGACCCCGTGCGCAGCAGAACGAAACCCTGCCTGGTCCTGCGCCAGCCTCACAATCCTGGCTGTGCCTGAGCCCATCGTTGCAGCCACTGTGTCTGTCCACCTCGTTGAGGGTCTGCCCCTTTTTCACTGACCCTTCGCTTTACCAAGCATGATGGGCCTTCAGGGAGCGGTCCCTTTTGACAACATGAGCAAAGCAGGTGAGATGAAGCCTGGCCATTCTCGCTTCCATGGACCATTCCAGCTGCACTTCTCCCTTCTTCTGGCAGCCAAGGGACTTGCAGCATTCTTCACCAACACCACAAGTCAAAGGCATCAACTCTTTGGTCTTCCTTATTCATTGTCCAGCTTTCACATGCATATGAGGCGATTGAAAATACCCTGGCTTGGGTCAGGCGCACATCAGTCTTCAAAGTGGTATCTTTGCTTCTTAACGCTTTGAAGAGGTCTTTTGCAGCAGATTTTCCCAGTGCGGTACGATGTCTGATTTCTTGGCTGCTGCTTCCGTGGGTGTTTACTGTGGATGCACGTAGGATGAAATCCTTGACAACTGCTGTGTTTTCTCCAGTTCTGCTCTGTCCCGTAGGGTCACTAAGAGTTGGAATCCACTGGGCAGCAACAACAATAACAACCAGTGTTTTCATTACAGAAAATTGACTTGGAGCCCATGAACCTGATGGACTGTATTTGGTTGTGACTCAGGGGTGTTCGGCTTGCCCCTGCCCCTGTTTGCTGTGCCCTTTGCTAGGCCTGGTTGAGTTCAGGCTCTTCGGTGTCCTCAGAGACCAGGCTCTGAGTCCCACCAAGACCACCCCAGTTGGGTAGTGCTGGGCATGTGAGTTCCCATCTCTGAGCCTGTCATGGGCGAGGGGTGAGCTCTCTGAGTTTCCCTTTGCCAGGTCCACTGCTCTGAACATGAGCGTGAGGGGAGAGACAGCCCTGCCCCCACTGGGACGCTCATGTGTTCTCAGGCCCTCTCAGAGACATTTTCTCTTGTATTTCAACCACCAGCTGGCCTCCAGTCTCTTGGCCCATGATGGATCAGAAGTTGTATTTCAGGAGAAATTGGCAAAGCAGAAGTACCTGCTAAGGGAGAAGATAATAAAGTAAAAAGTTTTTAAGGTACAGCCATTGGCCTCTCCCTGTTTAGAGCAAAGAAGAGTGAAGAAAATCAAAGATGCAAAGAAGCAGTTGGTCCAAAGGCCTAATGGACCACACAGCCTCAGCCACCAAGACCCTGAGACCAGAAGAACAGGATGGTGTCTGGCTACCACTGCAGACCACTCAGAAAGGGATCATAGTAGGAAGTCCTGCATAGAGTGAGGGTAAAATGTGCAACAAAACTCAAAATCAAAAAAGACCAGTCTTGCTGGTCTGATAGCAATTGATGTAACCCCTGAGTCTGTGGCCCTGAAACACCCTTCAGTCCTGGAACTAAATTCACCCCCACGGCTCAACTTTCAGCCACAGATAGAACTATAAGGTGAACAGTGACACCAAGGAGGGATGCACTCCTTAGAACAATCAGTCGTACAATATAAAAGGGGCAGCGTTTGCCCAGGGAGAAAGCTCAGAAGGCGGAAGGGATAGGAAAGAAGGACAAAGGGGAATGGAAAACATGGGGACGTGGGAAGAGAGCTGTTCCATGCTGGGGATTGCAGCCAGTGTCAGAAAACACAGTGTGTATGAACTGATGAACGGACAACTGATTTGCTCTGCAAACTGATTCACATCACCACAAAAATGTTAAAAGACAAGATGTTGTAGACCTGACGGAGCACCTGGGGGCATTTGAGGGAAGAAGATCCTTGCCTTGTAATTTGCAGGGTTCCTTGCAGTCCTACTCATCAAGTTCAGAAGACAGAGAGATGTTCACCTGTGTTTTATTCACTATGCAAAAGCATCCAATTGTGTGGATCATTTCAACACATTATGGATGACATTATAAAGAATGGGAATTCCAGAGCACTTGTACTCACAAGAAACCTGTACATAGACCAAGAAGCAGTCATCTGAACAGAATGAGAGGTTACTGCATGGTTTAAAACCAGGAAGGGTGTGTGGCAGGGTTGTGTCCTTCACTGTACTTAATTCAAACTGTATGCTGAGTAGATATTCCAAGAAGCTAGACTTTATGAAGAAGAACACAGTATCAGGATTGGGGGAAGATTCATTAACAACCTGAGATATGCAGATAGCACAACCTTGTTTGCTGAAAGTGAAGATGACTTGAAGCACTACTGATGAAGATCAAAGACTGCAGCCCTCAGTATGGATTACACCTCAACACCAAGAAAACAGAAATCCTTGCAACTCTACCAGTAAGCAGATCACGATGAATGGAGAAAATATTGAAGTTGTCAAGGATTTCATTTTACTTGGATCCACAATTAACACCCATAGAAGCAGCAGTCAAGAAATCAGATGACGTATTGCTCTTGGCTGATCTGCTGCAAAAGATTTCTTTCAAGTGTTGAAGAACAAAGATGTACTTTGAAGACTAAGGTACACCTGACACCAAGCCATGGTATTTTCAATCACCTGTGGTGGTGTGGTGCCTAAGGCACTTGACTGCTAACCAGAAGACTGGTGGTTCAAACCTACCAGCCACTCCTTGGAAGGAAGACTGGACAATCTACTTCGATAGAGATGAGATACCACCTCAGAAACCCAAGGAGGGGGTCGCTATGAGTCGGGACTGACTCGACAGCAGTGAGTTTGGTTTGGTTTTGGGTCATATGCATGTGAAGGCTGGACAGTGAATAAAGAAGACCAAAGAAGAATTGATGCACTTGAACTGTGTTGGCAGAGAATGTTGACTATACCGTGGACTACGAGAAGAACAAGCAAATCTGTCCTGGAAGAAGTACAGCCAGAATGCTCCTTAGAAACAAGAATGGCTAGACTTATCTGTCATACTTTGGTCCTGTTGTCAGCAGGGACCAACCCCTGGAGAAGGATACCGTGCTTGGTAAAGTAGAGCGCCAGTGCAAAAGAGGAAGACCCTCGATGAGATGGATTGACACAGTAGCTGCATTTGTGGGCTCAAGCATTGGAATGATTATGAGGGTGGTGCGGAACTGGGCCGTGTTGCGTTCTGTTGTACGTACGGTGGCTGTGAGGCGGCGCTGACTTGACAGCACCTAACAACAACATTCAGCCCTTAACATAGTACCTGGCGAACAGGCAATGTCTAAAAAGAAAAAAAACAGATTTTAAACATTGATTTAGGAAAAAAAAAACCAATGGCATCAAGTCAGCTCCTATTGACAGTGACCCCCATTGGGTTTCTGAGGCTGTAAATCTTTTCGGAAGATTAACAGTCAGATGCCTTAGGCACTGCGCCATCAGAGCTTCTTAAACATGTATTAAACCCAACCCAACCACACTCGTTGCCATCAAGCTGACTCTGACTCACAGCGAGCCCCATCGGGTTTCCGAGGCAGTAAATCCTTTCAGAAGTCGATTGGCCCAGTCTTCCTTCCACAGAGTGGCTGGTGGGTTTGAACTGCCAACTTTCTGGTTAGCAGTCCAATGCCCTAGGCGCTACGCCATCAGAGCTCCTTAAACATTTATTAGTAAGCTTCAGATACCACCACAATTACTCTTTGTGCCGTGATAAATAAGTTGGCTTTGTTGTATAAATGATGTATTCCCATTTTAAGAGAAATTCGAAAATTCTGTTTCTCTAAAGAATTTGTAAACCAGCGGCCCCCGGATCAGCTCTGACTCACAGCACCCCCAGGTGTGTCCACAGAGCTGTGGTCCTCAGGGTTCTCAGTGACTTGATTTTTCAGGAGATCATCAGGCCTTTCTTCTGAGGTGCCTCTGAGAGGACTGAACTCTCCACTGTTACGTTAGCAGGCAAGCACATTAACCATGTGTCCCAGCCGCGGTGCCTTTGCGGTCATAGGGGCCTGTGGCCCGCTTCTCCCAAGCCGGAACACCATTCCATCTCCAGCCTCCCCCCAGCTGACCAGTACTTTGTCAGGGCTGGAAGGGAGGGTGCAGATCCCCTGGGATCCCTGCACTAATTGTTGTCCTGACCTGTGGGAGATCCTTGGAAACCTCGCCGGCTTCCAGGAACTGGAGTCGGACCCCAGAATGGGGCCCAGGGGCAGCACTGGTGAGCACCTTGCAGGAGGGCTGGTCCGCTGCCTGCCGCTTGGCTGAGCCTCAGGCTAGGGGGGTACTGGCAGAAGAAAGGAGCGGGGTGTGATTTGGGGGCCCGAGCATTTGGAGAGGCCGACTTTTCTAGAGAGCCCAGGGGGGCCCCGGGTCTGTTCCAGATCCAAGACCCCTGATGTGCTCATGCTTGTCTCTGGAGTGCCAGTACTTTTTTAAAATTTTGATTGTGATTTGGGTGGGTGAGTTGAGAGAGCAAATTCATTTTCCACACAGCAGTTCATACACGTTTTGTTTCATGATGTTGATTTCCGTTCCCCACAATGTAACAGCTCTCTTACAGTTCCTCCCTGCGTTACCTGGAATGCCAGTGCTTTTTAACTGAAAGGCAGGTGACACACGTGATTGGACGACCATGTGCCAGATTCCTCCTGTGCGCTCTCTCAGCCTTCGTTTATCTGCTCGTTTTTAACCGTGTCCTTTTGACAGATGAGGAAGCTGAAACTTAGGGACATTGAGAACAGGCCACAGAGCCGGGATTGAAGCCCAGTCGGCTGGCAGTGAGCCCCCGTCAGCTAGGCGTCTGAGGAAGGCGGCAGCGCCAGGCCTCTGAGTTGGGAAAGGTTGGGTGCAGCTAAGGAGGTTGGTGGCTTTGCTCTCCTTCTGGGCAGCCGGCCTCAGCGGACGGCCATGCAAGTTATGTTCCTGCTATTAGCCTGCGTTTCCCACCCCCCGGCACGCTGTCCCCCCCTGGCCTTGACTTGGTGTCCTTCTCTGCCCTGCAGATCCCAGAGATCATCCATTTCTGCTGTGACTTTCTCATGTCCTGGGTGGACGAGGAAAATATTCTTGACGTGTACCGGCTGGCAGAGCTGTTCGACTTGAGCCGCCTGACCGAGCAGCTGGACACCTACATCCTCAAGAACTTTGTGGCCTTCTCACGGACTGACAAGTACCGCCAGCTCCCCCTGGAGAAGGTCTACTCCCTCCTCAGCAGCAACCGCCTGGAGGTGTCCTGTGAGAGCCAGGTCTATGAGGGCGCCTTGCTCTACCACTACCCGCCGGAGCAGGTGCAGGCTGACCAGATCTCGCTGCAGGAGCCCCCCAAGCTCCTGGAGACCGTGCGCTTCCCACTGATGGAACCTGAAGTCCTGCAGCGGCTCCACGACAAGCTGGATCCGAGCCCGCTGCGAGACACGGTGGCCAACGCCCTCATGTACCACCGGAACGAGAGCCTGCAACCCAGCCTGCAGGGCCCACAGACGGAGCTGCGGTCGGACGTCCAGTGCGTCGTGGGCTTTGGGGGCATTCACTCCACGCCCTCCACGGTGCTGAGCGACCAGGCCAAGTACCTGAACCCCCTGCTGGGAGAGTGGAAGCACTTCACCGCCTCTCTGGCACCCCGCATGTCCAACCAGGGCATCGCGGTGCTGAACAACTTTGTGTATTTGATTGGCGGGGACAACAACGTGCAAGGGTTTCGTGCCGAGTCCCGGTGCTGGAGGTAGGAGAGACGCTTGGTCTCTGGGAGTCGTAGCCTGAGAGGGTGGAGGTTACTGGGGCTTGGTCAGTGTGTGGCTTCACAAGGCAGGGCACATCCAAGGCCGCCGTGCGGAAAGCTGGGGTTCTCCCATTTGCATCTTCAGCTGCTGGTGCATCTTGTCAGGCACATCTGTCCTGTCGGCCCAGGTTGACTCAAAGGACAGACAGCAGTGAGCCAAGAGCGAGAGCCGCCTGCAGTGCTTTTCCCTCCCTTCGCCGCTCCACTGCTGGGGCTTGCACCCTCGGTCCTGTGGGCCGGCATTGGGACATGAGTGAGCGCTGTGTTCTCAGGCAGGTGGGAGCCTGAGGCCTGGGGAGCCCATGGCAGGAGGGACAGCTGGGCCTCGGAAAGGGGGACCCAGGAGCTGGAGAGCAGCTGGACCAGCCACCCTCTTCCCCGGCCTCCTTCCCCAGCTGTTACGCCTGTCCTGACTTCCCTTTGCCTGTCTGCTTCGATCTTAACACAGCCCATGGGGAGGGCAGCAGTACCCAGCCTGAGATGCAGGGAAGGCTGCTGAGCACTGGCGTGCTCCTGCGGGTCCGCCTGTCATCGGCCGAGCCCTGGGCTCTCCTGCAGGTCCCCCACCCTACAGTCAGCTGAGCCCCATGAATGGCTCTCCTGTAGGTCCCCTGCCCTGTGCTCAGATGAGCCCTGTGGCTCTCCTGCGGGTCCCCCCCCCCTGCCGTCGGCTGAGCCACATGGTTCTCCTGAGGGTCCCCTGCCCTGTGGTCAGCTGCATGCTACGCATGAGGTCCCTGGAGGAGATCATTTGCCTAGAGAGGGACTGCAGGGCCTGGGGACACCTTGTGTTAAATCTGTGGGGCTGCAGTCCCACAGTCCGTCCCCTGGGGCTGGCCCACCACACGTCCTTGCCTGCCGTCAGATTCCCAGGGCCTCTCCTCCATCCTGCACATGGGCAGGCTCCCCCCCGGCCAGCCAGCTGCAGGTCAGCACACAGCAGCACTGGCTGCCTTCTGGCGGCCGGGAACTAGGTGCCGACTGAGTTCCCGTTCGTTTGTCCACCCCCAGGGCCCAGCCCCATCACAGGGAATCAAGGGTAGTGACCCTGGCTGAAGAGAAACAGAATGCCAGTCTTGGGCCAGTCTTCGTCCTGGCTCTGGGGCGCAGGCCTGTTGTTAAACTGACGCTGCAAACCAAGCAAACATTGGGTTAAACACCAGGAAGAGAATTTTCAGAAAGGAGGGAGTGACTCACTTCGTTTTCCCCTTACCAAATGCTGTTCGCTGGCCTAGCTCTACCCGTTCCAGATTCCCCTCTAGCCAAACCTCACAGCTGCTGTTTCAGGGGCCCAGTGTCCCAGCTGCCAAGCCAGGCCAGCACTTGCTGCAGAGAGCAGCCCCCAGGGCTTGGGGCGGGACCTCTCACTGGGTGCTCTGGTCCCTGGCCCCCAGCTCAGTCCTCAAGGCTCTCCTCCAGGGGTGTTCCTCAGGTGCCATCGAGGGACTGCCCACCCTGTAGGCTGTCTGCCGGTTCTATGCTGTCTCCTCAGCTTTACTCTGGTCTAAATGTCTCTTGTGAACATGGCTACACGTGAAGTCTAGATAATGCTGACACTTTATAAAAAATTGCTGCCATCACGTTGATTCTGACTCATGGTGATCCTCATTGGGTTTCAAAGGCTGGGAATCTTTACAGAAGGAGACTGCCGCGTCTTTCTTCAGCACAGCGTCTGGTAGATTTGAACCACTGACCTTGTGGTTAGCAGCGTTAACCACTATACCACCGGAGTTCCTTATGCTGCTAACAGCCCTGACCCTTCACTGCAGCCCTGTCCTCCGCTCAGGAGGTTGGATCAGAATGGCAGGCACTCCAGAGCAGACGCACCACTGGCCTCCCAGAGGGTGCACTGGGGCGCCAGGTCGGCCTGCACGGTGTCGGGGACCTGCCATGTGGGGGACTGCCTGGCAAGGTGGCGGGTGGGCCACAGCTTTGCCAACCCATCACCCTGGTATCTGTCATCTCCCCAGAACAAGAGGTTTGTTAACCTCTGTGTGCACCCTCCACGTGCACCCTCCGCGTGCGCTCCACGTTTCCGGATGAGCCTCTCATTTTGAGCACCCTGTTTGACTCTGTCCCCTCCAGTCCCTTATTTCACCAGCCTCTGAACCTCTAGTCTTTCAAAATACAGGGTAGCAAAATTTTGCGGTGATTTAGGGTTTGCTTTGTGAGGTGTTGGAGATGTACCAGGTTACATTTTAAAGCATTGGCACAGGAACTGTGTAGAAAAAGCTGCCCACCTTGGAGCAAGTTGAGTTATCTTGCTTTGACTGTCTTACTTTGACAACGCTTGTGTTACCTGAATACTGATGGGGGCACGCCTTGCCTAGTAGGAGCTAGTTCCAGGTTGCCATGCCCTGTTGTTAGGTGACGTCGAGTCATCAACTCTTAGCGACCCCATGCACAGCAGAATGAAACACTGCTCAGGCTCCACGATCCTTGCTATACCTGAGCCCATCACCAAGTCACTGTGTCAATCCATCTTGTTAAGGGCCATCCCCTCTTTCGTCGACCCTCCACCTCGCCAAGCATGACATTCTTCTCCAGGGAATGGTCCCTTCTGACAACATGACCAAAGTAGGTGAGACGAGTCTGGCCATTCTCACTTCCAAGGAGCATTCCAGCTGTACTTCTTCCAGGACAGATTTGTTAGTTCTTTTAGCAGTCCACAGTACTTACAGCATTCTTCGCCAGCACCACAACTCAAAAGCATCCGTGCCCTGACCCTAGTTAAAATAACTTGGGGTTTTTTTTGAAGCATTTCCGTGCCAGTTTGTTTTATTATCATTACTAATTTTGTAATGTGGTTTGGATGAATGTTTGCAGAGTACGTTGGTTTCCCATTAACAGTTCACACACATTTTGTTTCATGGCATTGATTGCCATTGCCACCATGTAACAGCTCTCCTCCCACTCCCTCCCTGTGTTTCCTTGTATCCTTCTTTCCTGTCCCTTCCTGCCTTCTGAGCTTCCTCCCTGGGCAGCTGCTTCCTGTTTGCTCTTTTACGTTTATTTATTCAAAGAAGGGCACACCTTTCTGGTGTCATTGTTCACCTCATAGGCCTGTGTGTGGTTTGGCTGAAAGTTGAGCCATGGGAGTGAGTTCAGTTCTGGGCCTGAAAGGTAACTAAGGGCCATAGTCTCAGGGTTCCACCAGTCTCTGTCAGACCAGTCAGCCTGGCCTTTATTATTATTATTATTATTATTATGTTGAGGTTTATTCTATAGTTCACTCCCACTCCATACGGGATCTCCTCTTGTGATCTCTTTCAGAGTGGTTGGCAATAGTAGCCAAGTACCAGGTAACTCCTCTGGTCTAAGAGTCATAGAGGTGAGGTGCCCGTGGTCCAGTAGTCCCTTCGACTAATTGTTCCCATGATGATTTTTTGAAGTCCGTTTTAAAAATGAATTTTTTTAATTGGACTGTGAAAACATTAATAACCCAAATCCACTGCTGTGGAGTTGATTCTGACTCACAGCGCCCCTAGAGGACAGAGTGGAACTGCCCCAGGGGGTCTCCAAGACTGTCAATCTTCACAGAATCAAAGCAGTCTGTGGAGTCGATTCTACTCACAGCGCCCCTAGAGGACAGAGTGGGACTGCATCGCAGGGTCTCCAAGGCTGTCAGTCTTTACAGAACTAACTGCCCCATCTTTCTCCTGTAAATAAAACATTGATAGTCATGAAAATTCTTAAGTCGTGGGAGTACAGAAGAAAAGTGTTGTTGTTGTTAAGTGCCATGAGGTTGACTCCAGCTCATAGCGGCCCCGTGTCCAACAGAACGAAACACTACCCACTCCTGCGCCAGCCTCCCAGTCCTGGCTGTACCCGAGCCCATCGCTGCAGCCACTGCGTCAGTCCATCTCGTTGAGGGCTTTCCCCTTTCTCGCTGACCCTCCACTTTACCAAGCATGACATCCTTCTCCAGAGAATGGTCCCTCCTGACAACATGACCAAACTAGGTCAGACGAAGTCTGGCCATTCTCACTTCCAAGAAGCACTCTGGCTGTACTTCTTCCAAAACAAATTTGTTCATTCTTCCAGCAGTCTGTGGTACAGTCTGTATTTTTCACCAGCACCGCAATTGGAAAGCATCAACTCTTCTTCGGTCTTCCTCATTCATTGTCCAGCTCTCACATGCATACGAGGCGACTGAAAATACTATGGCTTGGGTCAGGTGCACCTTAGCTTCAAAGTGACATCTTTGCTCATAAGCACATTAAAAAAGGTTCTTTGCAGGAGATTTGCCCCATATAATACATCTGATTTTTTGACTGCTGCTTATATGGGCGTTGATGTTGGATCCAAGTAAAATGAAACCCTTGATAGCTTCAGTCTTTTCTCCATTTATTGTGATGCTGCTTATTGGTCCAGTTGTGAGGATTTTTGTCTTCTTTATGTTGAGGTGTAATCCACACTGAAGGCTATAGTCTTTGATCTTCATCAGTAAGTGCTTCAAGTTGTCCTCACCTTTCAGCAAGCAAGGTGTGTTGTCTGCATATCACAGGTTGTTAATAAGTCTTCCTCTAATCCTGATGCCACATTTTCTTCATATAATCCAGCTTCTCCGATTATTTGCTCAGCATATAGATTGAATAAGTGTGGTGAAAGGATACAACCTTGTCATACATGCCTCCTGGTCTATGAGTACAATTAAGTGTTCTGCAATTCCCATTCTTCACAATGTCATCCATTATTTGTTATGATCTACATAGTCAAATGTCATTGCATAGTCAAGAAAACACAAGTAAACATCTTTCTTATGTTCTTTGTTTTCAGCAAAGGTTCACGTGACATCTGCAGTACCCTTGGTCCCACAGCCTCTTCTGAATCTGGCTTGCATTTCTGGCCGTTGCCTGTTGATGTACTGCTGCTACCGTTTTTGAATTATTTTCAGCCAAGTTTTACTTGCATGTGATATTAATGGTGGTTTTCAGTACTTCCCACATTGTGTTGGTCTATCTTTCTGTAAAGGTGAAGCCTGAGAAGCCCTGTGGGGTGGCTCTGCATTGTCATACGGGTCTCTGGGGGTCAGAGTCCACTCTACTACAGACTACAGCATATGGAGGTCTGCGTCTGTCCGTGAATCTGAATGCAAACGTCCCAGGGACCTCAGCCTAGGGACTGGCAGCAGAAGGAAGGAGGGGTCCTTTGGTGGCCCCCGTCTCACTCCAGTGGAAGGACTGGTGCTTCCTTGCGCTGGACATAAGGTGGGGAGAAAAGATACATGCACGAGCCTCAGCACGTAGCAGCGGGGCCAGCCTGGCGGTTGACCAGGACCTCGGCGCATGCTGTGCCTTGTCCCAGGCGCCCCAGCACTGGGTATCAGATGCCACCTTCTAGAGACTTTTCCTGGCATCCTGGGAGAACCCTGTCCCCCCCACACACACACACACATGCACGTACATAGGTCTCTCTTTCCTTGCATTCTTGATACTTTCTCGTCATGGTCATTGTCATATTGAACACCAGCTTGTTCCATGTTGCAGTGGAAAGCCTTGTGTCTGAGTCTCCCTCTGGGTTGCCAGCGCCAAGCCCACGGCAGTCAAGAGAGGGCACACAGTGGCTGAATGGACTGTTGCTGGTTCCCCACTCACTCACTGGTGCCACGGCCCACCCTGAACCAGATGGTGAGGGTCTGAGGTCCAGGGATGCAGAAGTGAAATCCAGTCCTTTTTAGGAACACCCCCTAAGTTAGCATTTCCTCTTTACAACCCCTCACAATAGCTCTCCTACGCAGGTAGCATGGCTCCCAGGTGGGCAGCACCCAGCTCCCTGGGTGGGTGGCACAGGTCCTGGGCAGGCGGCATACCACTCCCCGGGCGGGTGGCTCAGCTCCTGGGCAGACGCGGAAGCTGATAGAATGACGAGAAATTGAATTGGTGCCTGGGCACACCTAGCCGGAAAGGACAGGGCAAGGATTCCCACAGGCTGGTGACCCGAAGCTGTGTCCTGTCTCGTGTTGGCCCTGTTCGTGGGGAACAGCATGGCATCATAATAGTGCTTTGGGGCAAAGCGTGAAACTGGTCCCAGCCAGCAGACGACCTGTTGTTGTTGTTGTTATGTGCCGTCGAGTCAAACCCGACTCATAGCGACCCCTCCTTGGGTTTCCGAGGCAGTATCACTACGGAAGTAGGATTGCCCAACCTTCCTTCCGAGGAGTGGCTGGTGGGTTTGAACCGCCAGCCGTCTGGTTAGCAAGCATCTTAGCCACTATGCTACCAGAGTTCCCAGCAGACGACCTAGGGCAGAGGAAACCAAGCCCCTCTCTTCTAAGCTGTGGAGGTTAGACTTGATCTCGTTGGAGTCACTCTTACTGGAAGGAGACCGATCTCCCCACAGGCTGTTGAGCAAGGAGGCTTCAGAGGATAGCATGGGATTGGGGCTCACCAACCTGGGCCCCTCAGAGCTGTAGCACAGCCGCCTGTGTGCACCCAGGGCTGGACCTGGAGGGTGGGGAGTCAATTGACCGTGAGAGGCCCTGGGACTGCACAGGGGGTGGGGCTTGCTGGGGCTGTGAGGTGAACAGTGGGAGCGGACTTGACCATGAGGTCCTCATGTCCCGGCTGGGACATGGGGATGGGATGTGTGAACAGGGGCGTCATCATATATGGACTTGGCCATTGAGGTGGGATGGGTGGACTGGACGTGGAGGGCCTGGTGAGGAGGTTCTGACTGGGCATCCCAGTGACTGATGGGGCAGCGGGACTAAGGCCGCAGCACTAGAACGGGGCCTCCTGGGATACAGTCTGCAGGCCCGCCCCCAGCTAGCTGTGAGGAGACAGACGGTGGGGTAGATGGCACCAACCCTAAGAGGAGGAGCCTGGTTGAGGGGAGAGCAGGTTCCATTTGGGACAGGTACGCATCCAGGTAGAGAGGCTCTGGCAGGTGTGGGAAGGTCAGAGGCCAGAGGAAAGGCTGGTGAGGTGGGTGGCCCAGGGTGAGGTTGGTAGAGTTGGGGCAGGTGGGTGGAGCTGGGGGAAGTAGGTGGCCCTGGGGGAATGGGTGGCTTGGGGTGAGGTGGATGGCCCTGGGTAGAACTGGGAGAGGTGGGTGGCCTGGGGGCAGGTGGGTGGAGCTGGGCAAAGTAGGTGGCCCTGTAGGAGGAGGATGGTGCTAGGGGAGGTGGGGTGACACCCAGTGAGGTGAGTGGCACAGGGAGCGGCGGGAGGTGGGTGGAGCTGGGCGAGGTGGGTGGCCCCCAGGGGCAGCTGGGTGCGGTGGGTGGCCCTGGGGTGGCTGAGACCCTGGGCTGGAGTGCAGAGCTCTCTGAAGGCAGAAGAGCAAGCTGCTGGGAAGCAGGAGGCACAGCCTGAGGGCCAGGAGGAGTAGGGCCGAGCAGCCTGGGTCTGCTCAGTGGGCTCAGCAGCGATGGGCAGGGTGGGAAGGAGGCCCAGGGACTGGACCTGGTCCGGAGATGGTGGTGAGAAGGCAGGGCTGTGGCTTAGGTGGAGCTGCATCTCCAGGAGAGGCTCAGGGGTCAGGACTTAGGGGGGCCACGCAGCGGCCCTGGTGTGGGGCCTGGACTCAGGTGGGCAGGCTGTCAGTAGTGCAGGCCTGCCACAGCCCAGGCTGCTCTTGCCCTAGAACTCCTGGAATCTGTGGGCCACAGTCCAGCTTGGCAGCAGCCCTCCCCCAGAACAGGACCCGGGAAGGGGGGTCGTGGTCCACTGGAGAGCGTGGAGCCTGGCCATACCTGAGCAGCACCGCACGGGGGATAGGCAGATGGAGGGGACACAGAGGAGTTGGTGAGGCTGCCGGGTGGCTGGGCAGAGACTCAGCTGAGTTGACACTTAGAGGGGGCTGGGGACACCGACGGACCCTGTACAGGGTCCTGGGCGTGTGACAGAATGTTGGGGGAAGCTGGAGGCCATAAGTGGGGATCCTTCCTGAAGGAAGGCGGGGCCTCGGGACTGTGAGTCGAGGCAGTTGAGACTGAAGTGGCTCCGGATACAGCTGCAGGGTGACACCCCGCTGCCTGAGCTCAGACCACGCCTTCCTTGAAGGACGGTGCACAGAAGCCACACGTGTGCTCAGGTGGGGAGGAGGCCTGTGGCACGGCAATGTGTTGTGTGTGCGTTGGTGAGTGGGGGAAGCGAGCCAGAGCAGGAGGGGTGGGGCCAGCAGGTGCCCTTCTCACCTGGCCAGTGATACGCTGTTCTCATGTCCCCCACAAAAGGTATGACCCACGGCACAACCGCTGGTTCCAGATCCAGCCCCTGCAGCAGGAGCACGCCGACCTGTGTGTGTGTGTCGTGGGCAAGTATATCTACGCCGTGGCGGGCCGCGACTACCACAACGACCTCAATGCCGTGGAGCGCTACGATCCCGCCACCAACTCCTGGGCCTATGTGGCCCCACTCAAGAGGGAGGTAAGGGAGCCCCTCCAAAAGAGGCCACTTTGCTTCCCTGGCGGGCAGCGAGGGTGAGGCCCAGGTATCAAGGCCAGTGACTATCCCAGGCCAGGGAACAGGCCCAGGGAGCAGACCCTGCATGGAGGCATTGCTAGGGAAGTCTCTGGGGCTCAGAGGAGCCATCTGGGAAGAGGGCTTGTCTAGTTGTCCTGACCCTGTTCGCCAGAATGTCACTCTCTCAGGACTCGCGTGTCATGAGACCTTGGGCCCAATAAACTGCTTTAACCTTGGGGTTCAAAGGCAGACCCAGCCCTTTCCTTGTCTGTCCTTCAGCTGAGATGAGCTGGGATGAGTCCAAGAGCGTGAAATCAAAGGTCGTTGGTGGAGATGAGGCCTCGGGAGCTTGCATCACAGGCCTGCCCCTGCTCTGTCCTCAGACCTCTGTCATCAGGCCTCTCCACCAGAGGCCCCCATGAGGGCTGGGGCCCCCGCCCAGGAGCCTTCCAGAAGCCAGACATGCTTTAAATAAATAAATAAAATAAAGGGCATCTTACATAATACCTTGGTTTACTCCAGTTTGAACATGCTCGATACTATGTTCATTGGGCAGAGGTGGTGCTCCAGGGAGGTGATAACTCTTTCATCTTGTGGCTTCGGAGTACTCAGACCCTAGCCAAGAAACAAGCATGGGAGAAATAATTAGCCCAAGGGCCTAGTGGACAATGTGGTCCTCAGTCTATGTGATCGTGAGACCAGAAGCACTAGGTGGTGCCCAGCTACCACTGTCAACCACTCAGAGCGGGATCAGTGCAGGAACAGTGCAGGAGGTCCTGGATAGAGTGG